GAAAGATACCCTTTGGGTTCAAATCCCGGTCAGACAATGTCAGGCGAGACCCTATATGAACCGCCACTTGAGATGTGAACCATGAGGCTTCTTTCAGGTGCAAGGTCCAGAGAACTTGCGGCATGCAGATGAAATTCAGCGGATGAGCAGACATGAACATCGATGGTTTTCTTCGGATCTTGTCAGAGGGATCTTGTTCTTTCTGTTCAGGCCGACTCTGGAGGCTTCAAACAGGTGGTGGAAGAAGAAACACTTTTCGAAATTCAGACTCAGACAGGACCCGACCTCCTCGGACGACTGTCTCATGAAAACTGTGAGTGAATTGGTGTCGTTCGTTGGGTGAAACAATGCTAGCGTGTCACCTCATAGTGAGACATGGCTAGATCAAAAACCCAAGATGAGACCTCGAACATGTGTTGTTTTTTTTGGATGATCTTCAGAGATATTGGACCAGACTCACATTTTTTCGCCGAGCTGCAAACATCAAAAGTGGTTTTGGGTGCTTTCATGTACTTTGTGTTGTACTGTTCAAGCTTATCTGGGAATGACGACCCCAGTTGACGCAGATTTTTGGGAAAGGTGTTCACCAGACTTTGCCAATAGGTTGATGTACAGTGTGCCCGTGTTCTCCGCAGGGTGTTCATTCTTTGGTCACCTGGTGGAGGGTGAACCTGGTCCGGCGGTAGGATGTGACTCTCAGACGACCCATGGACGAGTGAAACATCTTGTGGAACCGGAACCGTTCACCCATGGACGACCCATGGGCGCCCCCACCGCTTCATCCCATGGGTGTTTCACTCACCTCACCACTCCGCACCCATGTGTTCCGAACATCGACAGTCCTCGATGCGTGGAGCTGGGGTTCCGTTCCCGTCTCGGCCTCCCCTTTGATGGATGACAGACCGTTCCGGGTCCGAGGTGCGTCCTGCCCAGCCCAAAGAGTCTCGATGTCAGAGCTCAGCGTCGATCTCACACAGGGGCATCTCCTGGATAGGTCCTATAATTAGACTGGATTTGCACAGGGTGATTTGCAACTCTTCTGCACTAGGCACTGGATTTGCTTTCTAATCCTGTTAGTGGTTCTGGAGTGGATTGCCTTCTTTGTTCCGGATCACTGGACGACTCCACTTTCTCAGGAGGAGATGTTCTTTTCCCCAGCTTCCTGGACAGCCAATCCAAGCCATGAGGGGCTGCAGCCTCCGGGGTCTCAAGGGTCTCCCCGGCTGCAGCCTGCCGATGCCTCCCGGAGCTCGGAGCTCGGCCAGGACGAGGATAAGTTCGACTACTACGAGGCCCGGCAGACGGACCCGGGGGGTGGTATTGGTAGTTCGATAAGACGCATCGCAGCCTGGAGCGAGGAGGTGAAGTGGTGAAGGTGAGGCATTTTGGGATATTGCAAGGTATGCCGCTATATATAGTTTGTTGGTGGCAGCATTCAAGAGTGGGGGAGGCGGGGGTATTCAGAATATCGGTCCTTTTTGAAGAGAAAACCAGTGTGACTCAATCTCTGATTTAGTAAACCAGAGACTCCCCAGGGTGTACCTAAGTCTGACTTTAAGATTCTCCTTTCATTGGGCGAGTGCTGGATCAGGTTGTTTCTTTTTTGGGGATGGACCCACATGAAAAGGGATTGGGATGGGGAGGCGGATTCTTCCATGATTAAAGGATGATTGGTCTTAGATTGAGAAAGGCATGCATCAGTTACTGTTGGAGGAAAATGCCTGGAGTCAGCATGCTGAGGAGTTTTGTTGAGTAAAAGGGTTTTTGTTGAATCCATGAAGCATTTTGTGCTTTATTCAGTATCACAATTATTTAGGGTACAGAACCAGAGTGTGAGCACAAAAGCAGCGATATGGGGGTCCAGATACAGCAAGTCTTCCTGCCTTTTGCCTAGGACTAGTGACTAGGACCTTGGAAACTGGGGCAGCTGCTTTCCGGCCATAAAGTCATTGAAGCCCATCCTCATCCTTCATCCCATTTTCACCAAAAGCACCACAAAAAGACTTCCAGCCTCAGATACCTCACCTTCTAGGACCCGTCACCTGGGGTACGATAGTCGAAGCAGTCGGGTCCTGAGCTCTTCGACACCTCAGAGAGACGAAGCCACGGCGGTGAGGTGGTCTTTGAGCCAGAAGATGCACCACCACTGGGATTGAGGACGGGCCGCCCAGTCCTTTTTCCGTTTTCTGGGGCTGGTGGTAGTGGGGTGGTGGAGGTGTGAAGGAGCCTGGGTGAAAGAAAACTGAAGACCAGAAGGGCAGTCTTTTTGACATAACAAGTACCTAAAATCTCAAAGAAATTCAATGAAGGTGTTTTTCCATGTGGTTGTTTGTTGGTGGAGGGGTCTGGAGGGGTCTGGAGGAGTCAGATGAATTCTATAGGTAATGTCATCACAGTACTCCTGTGAGGGCACATCCAAAGCTGGCGTGCTTCCCCACTCCCAACCAGGTTTCCAACAGAAAACGAGATGCTTCTTGGGTTCAAACCGAAGGTTCCAGGTAGAAGATGCACCCAATCTGCCTTTTGACCAACCTGGGCACTATGCCCAAAAGATATACTGCGCCGGTTGCAGTAAAGACCCTGTGCTGCTGCAAGAGGCCAGCTTCCAAAGCTGCGCTGCTTGCAGTGGTCAGGGTCTAGCGTGTGTTGCTGCAAGCCAGCTTCCAATCCTACGCTTCCAAAGCTGCCCGTAAAGCTTGGAGGAGGAAGGTGCTAGTCCAACAGTGCAAACCTTTTGTGTGCCACTCTAGGGTAAAATTTCAAGCAAACTTTAAAGGAGGAAGGTGCCATTCCAACGATGCACTCGTTTTATGAGCCAAGCGAGGGGACAATTAAGAGAAGGAACGTGCAGTTCCAACGGTGCATACCTGTTGTGACCTTTTGTGAGCAACTCGGTTGGGTAAAATCTAGAGAAAGGTGCCATGCCAACGGTGCATGTCTTTTGCGGGCACCCGAGGGTAACATCTAGAGGAGGAAGGTGCTATTCCAACGGTGCATGCCTTTTGTGAACCACCTGGGGTTAAAAATTTAGAGGAGGAAGGTGCCATTCCAACGGCGCGGAGCTTTTTTGAGCCACCCGAGGGTAAAATGTAGAGAAGGAAGGTGCCATTCCAACGGTGCATGAGAATAGATTTAGAGGAGGGTGCCATTCCTGCGGTGTGTGCCTTTTGTGAGCCACCTGAGGTAAAACTTATAGGAGGAAGGTGCCAGTGGAACGGCGCATACCTTTTCTGAACCACGTGAGGGTATAATTTAGAGGCGGAAGGTGCCATGCCAACGGCGCTTACCTTTTGTGAGCCACCCGAGGGTAATATTTAGAGGAGGAAGGTGCAATTCCAACGGTGCATGCCTTTTGTTAACAACCCGAGCCCTGGCCTTTCTGCTGCTCCTGACTCCTGATGCTTGTAAAGCATTCCCAGAAAAACAGGAAAACTACAAGAAAAAATCAAAACTCACAGAAACATATCAATCCGTTTCTGTGACATCGGAGTCTTGGTAAGTCCTGATCATTCTCAGGCTTACCTCGGGGCTGGTGCCCAAGTTTCCAAGGACGACAAAAATTTTTTCGTACCTGCATTGCGTGACCCCCCAACACATCAGCGAGAAGCTGCTGCCGCAGAATTGTACTTGGTCACAGAGCTCGAAAGGATGCGAGCAAACGGTTGGGAATTTCATGACGCATATGTTTCAGGACTTGCCCACTGCTGCATCTGCAGCATCCGCAGCGAGCCATGAGGAGAGCGCAGACGTTGCAATGGGATCAGACACACAGAAGAGAGAACGTCCTGAAACTGCAGAGCCCGAAGCTGAGGAGGATGTCGAGGTCGTGAACCCCGAGCCACCGCAAGAGACTCAAAGGGAGAACATTCCTACAGAAGAGGTGATGTGCCCTGGGTGTGGAGCCAACCTCGTGACTGGCCCCATCGTTTGCCCAGCCTGCAACACCAACATCGCAGGAACTCCCAAGGTCAAGCAAAGTCTCATTTCAAAGCGGCGAGAACTGCTGAAGCGCCTTGGCTATGATCACCTCAATGCCGACACCATCGAGCGGCTTGGTGGCCAGAGCAAGCAGTTCCGCGAGGGATCTGGCCGTGGCATGAGAAGCCCGGAAGGAGACTTCGTTGAGACCGCACGAAAGCAGGTCAAAAGGGCTATTGGCTTGGGCTACACCTCAATGGCTGACAGGTATGAGAATGATGTCACCTTCATCGAAAGAATGACTGAGCACGGAATCACACTCCAGGACATTCAGCTGAGAGACATTGCTGGACATGGGCATCTACCAATGCCACCAAGAACAAAGACCCAGGTGGACTACGGCATTGGTCTCAAGACAGCACATGATATGGAGTTTGCCAAGCTCATGTACATCGATGAGGACATCAGCAGCATCACTGACAGCGATAGAGCCCTGAACGACAGATTCGATGACCCACACTGGGCCGTGATCTGGGGAAGGGACCTCTACAGCCTCAAGGAGTTCCAAGAACTATGTGAACGTCGGCATCAACGCGGCAAGACCACAAAGCTCCTCACCTTCACGTGTGTGATGGAAGCAACTGAGACGCCCACCATGCGGGAGCTACATCAATCCATCGACAGCTCGCTGCCAGTAGCAGAGCAGCTGGTGCGCAACAAGCGTATCCAGAGTGAGAAAGCGGCTGAGAGGAACGAAGCAAAGGGCCGTGGCAAAAGCAGCAGAGCATTGGTCGCAGCACCAAAGACTCCGCCCAAAGCCGCGCCTCCACAGCAGGATGCCCCAGCCGCAGAGCCTGAGATGGAGGTCTCCCCAAGAGCCAACATCAATCAGATCGGAACGTTTGATGTACGCCAGATGCCAACTGCAAAGTACCCACCATCAGTGCCCAAAGCAGCATCAAATGCTCCACCAAAGGCACCTCCAGTCATGCCATCGTCGACCGTGCCAAGAGCAAAAGCCAGGTCCACGCGTGATGCACGCGAAGGGGCTCACGGCTCACGCTCCTCCCGAGAGCCGCAGGATGGTGACACCTGGGGGCACTACACCTTTTGGAACGGCCAATGGTGGACCCGTGAGCGTGATGGGCGTTGGTCAACTGGCAGTTGGCGGCATGGAGGCTGAAAATTCGAGCTGCATTCATTTCTGAGCAGGTGCCATAGAGTGACCTTTAAAAGAAGGCTCACGCTGGCATCATCGCTCAGCCCGATGACAGCTGCTAATTCGCGCGTCGCTTGCGAAAGCAGAGGGGGGTGTTGAAATACATCACTTAATGCTATGCTTTTACGCATGTGTGCCAATTTGGCTCAAGCACGCAGCTCATCCGCGTCAAAAAGGAGCGCTTGCAGTTGCAGCTTAGCGGTAACTTGATTGTATTTTAGTGGTTAGTGGTTGAGCCTGAAAATACAGTAGGTAGTAGGTCGTATGGTAGCAGAGTGACTGGAAGATACTGGAAGTATTCACGCTTAAGGGTGGCTTGCAAACAGCCGGGCAGACCTTGAGTGGCTGAGTGGCCGCTGTGAACCGCGACCTGGATTGCACATACCCTCTATCTCCAGACCATTGAGCCGATGAACTCATGAAAAGTGCAGGGTTTCTTGGCAGTCGAGAATCCACGACAAATTCTGCGTACGTCATGTTCGTTGTAAAATGTGCTCGCTTTCACTCCTCCTATCTCAGGTTTCTTCACCTCCAAGCTGCAAGTCTGCTCCATGAGAATCTTCGCAGCGCAACCGTTGTTCCCGCCAGGATTGGCTGGGAATTGCCACCACAGCTGTCGAAGGCCGGATAGAGAGAGGAAACAAAGGTGCAGGGAAGATCTGACAGTTTTGGGAATCATCATGGTGGTGGTGGAAGTGGACCAGCACCACCAGCTGCTTTTCTTCGAGGAAAACTCATGGGGTCAGGGTCAATCCAACATCTTTGGGGACGTTTTCCATCCACGTTGGCGCCCATGATTCTCCCAGGGAGTGTAAAAAGATCTTGGTCATCTCATGACATTAAAAAACCGGTTGTATTTTTTTCCCCTTCTTGGTGATGTTCAAACCACACATTTTCTCCTGGAATGTGTGGATCTTTAAACAGGCAAGCAACATGTTTCCTGGCCCCCCGCCAGCCAAAGGGTTGACCACAATCAAAAAAACCTCGAGATCTGGGGTTTCAGGTGATTCTTCAAAAAAAGTCCGTCAACATTCACGAATCCGTCGAATTCCTGCATTTTTTTTGACTGCCCAAGAATTGGAGGGTGAACCGGTTGGTTTATACCACAGAAGCTTGATGGGCCTGTATGATTCGGATGATGGCAGCTGGCCCCCTCTTCTTGCGTCGAAACTCGAGGTGTTTCACAATTGTTTCACCATGCTTGGTGAGTTACACCTGCGAATGTATTCCTAGAGCTCCCAAATACCAGGTTTGTTGGAAGAAGGGAAGGGTGCATTGTAGGGAATGTGCATTTGAGTCCTGTTGCGGGTGGTGCCTGCTGTGGTCCCTTCCGGGCGTAGCAGAACGGACACACATTGTTCCGGGCTGCCTCCAAGACGTCCGCATCTAGGGTCCCCACCTACAGTGGTTGCAGCCCCCTCGTCACACAAGCTCTATTGGGTAGAGATTCTTGAAGATCGGATGATCGGAGACTTGAAGTATCTCCAAGTCACGAGATGCTTAAGATAGGATGTCCAAGTCGCAACCTGCTTAAGTGACAACTTGCAGTTTCAAATCCACAAGATTGGACTGATGCTACATTAGACTCTTTACCTTATGCAACTTTAGTGGCTGGCATGCATGACTTCTGATGCTTTAGAACACCTTGAGTACCAGGTGAAACATCTTCCGCAAGGTTCACAGAGCAGTAACTTCTATGCACTTGCAACTTTAGTTCCATGCGTACCGACATCAATGGGATTCAAAGCACACCACAGTTTCTTGGCCAAGACTATAATGACCAAACAATCCAAATCATTTGAGATTGCTAGGTGAAGCTGGTAGGTGAGAAACACGTACGCACAACACATGAGAAGCCTTCCCTTCTTCGTCTCCTTCCAACTCCCTGAAAGCCCCAATCAGAAGTGGATGTGTTTTTCTTCCAAGAGATGTCCACTTCCTTACTCACTTCTTGATCACTTATGAGGAATCCACAGACTGAAGACGGGGTGAAGACGTACCCAAGAAGTAATTTGATCAAGAAGTTGGATGCAGACCTTGATCATCCAAAGTAACAACTTCCACACTTCTTCCTCAAGTCACTTGGTGATTTTCATCATGGCTAGGTGGTCAGTGGTCCACACACCCCGTCTCGCTTCAGGGTCCCTTCACATCCCTAGTTCGCACCGAACCAACCACAGAAAAGCTCCACCCCACCGCCCAACAACCTCGGGTGGAACGAACCAACCTCTGTGCCGCACGCGGTTCCTTGCGCCAGGTGTTGCCCAACCGCAGCGCGGCGCGCGTGTGCACCGAGCTACGTCCGGGCGATGAACTGGTGGAGGTGCTCCGTCCGATGAACTGCAGCGTGCGGTGAAGAGTTGAAGGTGTGTGAAGCGGGCCACGCGTGCAGCGGGGGGAAAGTCGGAGTCGGTCCCTTTATTTTCGTGGAGAATGGGTTCGAGGAAGTCCGTGTTAAGTTTGTCGAAGAAAAAAGAGACATGGAGATGACAAACGCCCGGGTTTTGGTGATAGAATCTTTGTATCGGTGTCTTCTAGTAGGAGGGGCTTGAAGAAAGTTCAAAACTTGCGAGCAGTTCAATACTTGTGGTGAGTTGGTTGATGCTTCAAATTTGTGTACTTGAAGATGCTAGAAAAGCAAAGGGCTAGAGAAGCATGATTAGCATCATTGTTGTCATGTGATGAAGGAGCTGAAACATGAGCCGCTGGAATAGCAACGGGCAAGGAGCATCACTAGCACCATGGTTGTTTTTTGATTACATATTGCCCGTTGGCACTGAAAATGCTAGAAACAAACAAAGGGCTAACGGAGCATCACTAGCACCATGGCTGTTTTGTAGGAAGTGCACCAGGGTTTTGTTGAGCTGTGTGTGGGACACCAAAGAAACACAAAAATTGTCAGCATCATGCAGTGCAATGTGTGTCCTGATTCCTGTTTGTGATGTCGAGAAGCTGTGATTGATTTGCCCCATGTTGATGTCGCTATGTCTTCCATGACAAGCTGTTTACCACTCTTGCTGGTGACATGCGATCTTTACACATGTGTGAATTGTAAGGACATCATAGGTTTTTGCATTGCACTAATTTCTTTTAGACGAAAAACTCTTGTTCCCGCCCGTGTTATACCATGAATAACTCTGACAAGTGTATGGGGATCCTAAACGTTTCCTTGGTCGCTTGGATAGTGGGGTTGCTTCTTCATTTTCGATGCCTGGACAATCCGCGAAAAGAGACGTCGTGCTTTTCATTTTGCGTCGAGCATGATGGAGGGCTGGACATGGCCCCCGTATTGTCCTGCCAAACAGGTCATTGACTGCATGCAATGAGCTACGCAAGTCTAGAAAACACATGCGAGAGACCTGCATGAGAGGCCTTTTTTCAAGCTATAATGTTCAGCAAACACCACGGATTTTCATTCTTTTGTGTCTTGAACCGCCCCAGGTTCTGTCCAAAACATCCACCTCAACCAACCAAAATACGACGAACCAAGATGCCACATGACGTCGTCCGGACCGACACTCCGACACTGACACCCGGACCGCGGACGGACCGCGCCCAGGTGAACGGCACCGACGTGACCGAGTTGGAACAAGGCACGGAGAGCCGGAGCCGAAGGAGCCGGGTCGAGCTGAGCTGAGCTGAGGCGCTGAGCTGAAGAGCAAAGACCGAGCAGAGGGCGCCTGCCTTTATTCTAGGCGCTATAGTACCAAAATAGGAGAGATGTAGGCGAGATACAAGCTATATTTATAGGGATCGATGTGACAAATCCATGTGAATCCGATATGACCATGGCATCTCAGTTGACGGAAGAGTCAAAGAAGTGGGCAGAGGACTTTTTCAGCGTACAGCGCACCGCAGAAGACCTTGCACATGTTCCTCCTTCTTGGTAGTGCAGAAAAAGGACAGGTGGTACTTCTTCCCTAGGGCTCCATCCCAGACCCATCTTCTTAGAAACGACTGGAGCCCAAAAAAATTAGGCTTCTTTGCAGCTTTGATTGGGGTTGTGTACCAGCACCTTCAAAGGGGTCACCAATGGAAGCCCCTACACCACTAAGGGACCTCCATTCATTGGACACCCCTTGAAGGTCCAGGTAGTTTAAGTTGAATGCACTGCCCCAGCTTCACCTTGACCCAACTTCACAAGCTGAGTCTCATGTGGTACTTGATCAAAAGGTCGACATAAGGCCGAGGTTCATTGAGAGCCTTTCTCGTTGTTTGCAAAACCTTTATGTTGTCTTTTTTCTAGAGGATGTTTTTTCACGAAAGATCTGCAACAAGATTTAATATGGACACAGAAGACTTCCAATATACCCCCCCGCGAAAGTTGTATGTTGAGTTCGCCAAAGATGCACGAAAGCATTGAAGACTTTTTGGTTTTGAATGAAGAAAGGCCTTTTTAGATCCACCATGATCCATCACCATCTTCCCGGTGCCGTCTGAGGTTTCCACTCCCCCACCACCGAAACCGAAGCGTTTCGGCCCGTCTGGACGTGAACGTGTCGAACGACGCAAGCGGAGGCGACATCGAACCCATGTTCGAAGCGCGTCCCTTGAAGCTCCTCTTCCGGCGCCGTCCCGAGCCCTCCAAGGAACGGGGCGGGGGGCACTGCGCGGGTGGATGAAGGGGGGCGGAGCCCTGGAAGCGGTGGTGACACGTGGCGTTCGCGAGGCGAGAGATCATCTTCGCCGATTGGATCAGGGAATGATGGCAGTGAAAACACACGTGAAGAAGGTTGGTCTAAAGTGATGTGAGCTGGTAGTTTAGGCCAAAGACATGAGCAGTCACTGCTTGCTAGAAGACACTGTATCTAGATTCTAGGTTCCAGATCTCGTGGCCTCACGCCTCACATCCTTAAGTTCACACAACACAACATAGAAATCGGCTTAGGCGCCAAGATTCCAAGACAGACAATCCTTTCAAACCATTTGGAGTTCCGAGAGTCCATTCCATCCCAAAATACGTGGGCACGCTCCAAGATCCAGACCTCATGGGCCAGCTGTGGCAGATGCAAATCTAGGATTCTAAGGTGGGATCTCCTCATTGACCTGTGTGACAATTGGCTAGCAGGAGGCTCAAAGATCTTCTTTGCCACTGACCATCAAGTCGAGCTGAAAGGTTTCGTGCACATGATCAACGCCCTTGGGGGTGAGCAGAACACCACCCATACTAGAACCCCCTCACTCAAATGATTAGAGTCGACAGATCTTTGAGTTTGATGTCGCAAAATGAAACAGATGTTTTTGCCACCATCCGAGTTCATGAACAAGATGTATCGTTGAGGGGGCTGTTCACAGTTCGTGACGTTTCTCCTCCGAACGTTCCTGCATGGTGTCCCGATCCTGTTCTGATGGTGTCCCGGTCTTGTTCTGATGGTGATGTCCCGGTCATGCTCTGATGGTGCTTTGATGGTGTCCCCCAAAACCCAAAACATTGAGAAAAGACTTCCGTGTGGAGGGCCCTCGAAGTATCACGCACGTGCACGCAGTGAGACAAGGGACAGCGCTGGTAATGTGTAATTTCGTTTTGTCTCCAAACATGTTGCAAAGTTCTACAGCAGCGCCGCGCTCGCTCAAAAATGGGTTCTTCAGTCGATCATTTGGCCCCAAAACTGGGACCATTTTCTGACCACCAAAGCGGGGCTGTCACTTCTCCGAAAGCTACCGCCCTGTTTCTTGGGACCATGAAGTCGGGCAAGCGCAGCAGCAGAATTTAACCGATCCGGAAAGATGAGTCTTTTGGATATTTGTGGGCTGCGTCGGGCAACGCGGCAACATTGTTTGAATTGGACACATACACAGTACATATGTATGGAGTTGCCTTGTGTCGAATACGGACAACTGAAGTCTTTGCCAGAGCATTTATATAGAGTATGAGCTAGACAATGGCAGACGAAAGGCCTCCGGCAGTCAAATTGCCTGCATGCTAGATCGGGTCAATCTGCAATCCTTTGCAGTCTAGTCCTCCGCCCTTCGGGAAATGGCGGTTTTGTGTGCGGCTCATCACGATTTAGCAAGAAGTGCCTCAGCTCAGCCAAGTGCCACAGATGTTGAAGAATCGTGAAGAACCCTGTGAACTACGTATAAACTATCCCATAGGTACCCCAAGATGGTCCTTTTAAAGGTCATTTCGCCTAATCTCTTATACTGGAACCCCAGAAAGATGCCGATGCGATCGCAGGAGAAGCAGGAGGAGGGCATGCGAGTCGTGGGGAACATTCGGATTGAGCAAGTGCAGAAGGCAGCGCCCGACGTGACCGTCCGTGGGTGGGGACGTTGGATGTGGCCGGGGGTGTCTCGGTCCCACCGCTATTGCCGTGAACATGCGCATGTGATGCGCGAGAATCGGATGGAGAGGGGGAACGTTGAAGCCCAAAACCTACACCTGAAAGAGGCTTCGTGATTCTGGGGGAAGACGATTCCACCCATGTTTGGTGGGGTCGTATACGATTCCACGCCTCACGCCTCACGCATGTTGCCAGCCCCGAACACGTCTCCCACGCCGTGCCCTGGATGAAGGACGTGAGCGCCTTCAGGAGGTTTGAGCTCGTCAAAACGAGGAAATGGATGGAAATGGGGCTTCGTTGCCCCAGCCAGTTCAACACCCAGCCAGTCACGGACTACGTATACAAACATACCCTACAGGTCAAGGACCTCATTTTACATTTCATTGGAGTTGGTCATGCAAGAACACAACTCAACGTGGTAAAGGACCTGGTTTTATTGGGTCATTGGTCTTTGGACTTGTAGGGACAGTGCCTTCATTTTCCTTCATTTTGGTCCAACAGTACTTTGAAAAAGACTTTAATTGAACTGGCCACCCGACACATGAAACCGTTTTTGGCATGAGCCCTTGGAAGAAAACATCACCCTATATATCACCCTCTTTGATCCAAGACCCGTGACAACTACTGATCCTCACTGGTCTTAAAGAGGTTGGTCCAAAGACTCAAGACTTCTGTAAAGGGTTGGTGTTCCCCGAACATTTTGCATGAAACTTGGTCTTCGTTTCTTAAACTGCTGTGTCTATCCATTTTGCAAGCACAAGGCCACGCTACTGATCGCATTTTGTCGAAGGGTGGTGTGCTTGATTTTTGAAAGCGATGTGCTTTTGTTCTTTGACTTTACGAGTTGGGGCCGCCAAACCCCGACTGCCGGCATTCCCGTGTGTGCATAGTCAGGAATTGCATATGTAAATTGGAGCATCGCCTGGATGCATTTTGCAGGTTAAAGGCTGATGGATAATTTGGTCGGAAGCCTGAAAAAGGTATATTGTTCAACGAAGCTCCGCACCAGCAAACACCGCGGTGTGTGACTAAGAGTTCTAGATGGTGTATTTGATGATGTTCTTCAAACAGTAGGGACCCCTATGAAAGCTTTGGGTGAAGACTAGATAAAGCATGATAAGGCTATAGCATGCTATAGCTATAAAGAAAGGAATCCATATAACTTCCAGGAGTTACAAAGGGGTACTTAATGGAGGCTAGGGGGTGCCTACTATCCACTCACTTGGAGACTAAACAGCACCCCTTTGTAACTCCTGGCTGTTTCTTTTCTCCACCCCATAGCCACTCCGCAGCTCGCCCGCTCGCTCGGCGCGACCTCGGCTTGGTCGTAGGTGGCGGCCTATGGAGATCCAGCACAGTACTTGGAGTGCTTCAACTTGGCCGTCCTGGTGATCCACAACTTGGCTGTTGAGGTTGGGATGTTTTTTGGGATGCGTTTTTACATATAGGACTGATCCGTTAAAAGTGGTGATGGATGTGGATTGGGATGTGTTGCTTTCTAGTCATATAGGACTGATCCGTTTTCAGTTGTGATATGTTGTGATCATGTTTTGGCGAGATCTTTTTGAGGTGAGAGTCCTTTTGGGTAGTCGTGTGATCATTGTTGGGCGAATTTCCTTTCTTGGGTGCGGAGAGAAGGACACATGGAAGATGTGCAGCAGTTTCTTTTTTCTATTACAGCATCCTGTAGCTATATACATGGGCGAACATGAGGACATGTCATGTGTTTACTTTCTTTGTCGTCTATTTTCCATCTCTTCATCCTTGACTCTCCACTTGAACTACTCTGCAGATCATTACACTCCCTGAAACAATCGTGGAAGTGGACAGTGGCCCCGAAAGGAAGACTCCTTTCCTCTACCCAAGAAGGGGGTTGTCCACGTAACCATGATTGTTGCAGGGAGGGTAGCCACCAAACAGGTGGGTCATCCAGAGGATCGCCAGCGATGTCACGCCGATCGTCCGGAGGTAGACTTCTCCCACCAAGCGATCGAAGCACCGGCACAGTCGGAGTCCAAAGCCACCAGCACCACCTGGGGCGGGTCAGTCTATAGGGGCTATTGGCGAGTCAACAAAAACACACATAGAAGTGGACAACCCTTTCTTTGTGGATTTCGTAGTCTTTCTATGTCTTTCCAGGGGCCATGCCATCCACGATTTCGACGTTGGAGGGTGGGTCCACGGGAATCATTTGAATGCGTTAACTTACTCCTTTGAATGCGTTGGTACGCAAAAAAAGATCGGCTCCTCGACTCCTCGCGTTTGACCACTAGACAACCACTATAGAGGAGAGATAGCCTGTTAGGGGTTTTCCTCATGAGTCTTCCGAGAAGACGGAAGCCGTACCTCCATGCCACGCGAGGCCAAGAACTTGGAGTTGCTCCACAGCGAGCCACGGATTCTGAGAGTACTCTTGGAGGTGGGATGGTCCCGGGATGGTGGTGAGAGGTAGAGGGAGTAGAGGGAGTAGATATGAGGAAGTAAGTCGATGAGGTTTTATATGGTTTTGAGGAAGTGAGACGCGTCAGGACGTGATGTCCGTGGGCCGGGCCCTTTTGGGCAGGTCACACAGGTGGAAGCAGACTGATGACTAGTGCCTGGGATGACTGATGAAGAGGGAGTTGTTCCTGTGGAAACAAAGAGTTTCTATGCTTTGTGCTATGTTTAGTGTTTCGTTGGACTGCATGGAGCATACTGGTGACACCAGACCGCAGATGTACCAGTCTTTTTAATGGGGCACACGATTTGCTGTAAGGATCGCATGGAATAAAGTTTCCACCCTGGCCGGGAAGATTATAGAACACCATGCCCAGTAGTTTTCCGGTTCCATGTTAATCTTCCAGGGCGTAGAATTTGATCATGCCTTTTTGGGTCGTAGTATCTTTGATGTCGCAAAATTCTATCAACTTCAGGATGTCACACAACTGTTAATGGAGACCAAGGCAACCACCCTACACTGGCAACCAGAGGGACCATATAGGGACCATACCCATCCACCAGCTACGAGACCCTTCAAAGCATCGTGGCCGCTGCGGGCCGGAGCACACTTCCGAGACGAAGACCAATTCCGAGACGAGGATACCTTCCCGCTCCCTTCGGGCGTCCGACGCACGTTTCCACATTGAAACGGCCTCCGGTGTCCAGGGTCCTTTGGCTTCCAGGCCAGCTCTGCCAAGGATCTCTCACTTGCAAAGGATCAAATGTCTGAGACGTCTGACATGCATACGGTGGTCCAGAACTCAAAAGACAAGGGCAAGAAAGGCAAGCTTCGTGAGGTTGAGGGTGACGAAGGTGACTGGGAAGAGGCTGAGTGGGAAGAGTTTGGCCTTGAAGAACCTGAGACTGAGGAGGGCCAAGTGGCCATGGTTGTCAGGTCAAAGCCTGGAGAGGTTTCAAGTGCTGTCCCGGGGAGTTCAAGCACCATCCTCCCAGCGCCGACAGAAGCAGAGTCGCCTGCCACTCTCTCCCATGATTATGTCGAGTTCCCATTGGACCTGGCCTGGAAATACCATTTTCGAGCCGTGGAGGCCAGTAAGAAGATCAGTGAGCGCATGAAGCTCCCTCATATCTCCTCTTTGGACCTGAGTGAGAGAGCCGCCTGGTGCCAGAAGTATTCCACCGGCACTGAGAAGCTTGGCGCGATTGTCTATCGCATCTCCATGAAGAGCCTCCGCCGCCTCCACTACCTCCACCCGCCACTTCCGGCGCCTGGTGACAAGTGCTTTGACCAATGTTTGATCATAATGTGTGAGCCGGTAGTTCACAGTGTCACTCATCCTGTTGAGTACTTGTTGAGCACTCAGGGCTTGGGAAAGGATCAAGACCCATTGGCTTGTAGATTCAGGTGCCACTTGTCACATTGTTGCTGAGGAATGGTTGAAGCTTCACCAAGGTTAAGTACTGGCACCCAGGTTCAGCTCCAATCCTGAGAGGTACAAACGATCATATTCTTCCCACTGCAGGGATGGTAGACCCAGAGTTCAAGGTAGGTAAGACGCCAGTAGTCATGCAGCGAGTAGTGGTAGCTCGACTCAAGTTGAATGTGATCAGTTGCTACGCCTTGTCAGAGACAGGGTGGCTGACTCGACTGGGTGGGGCACGAGAGAGTGTCCTTGAGGTGAAGCTGCTGAGAAAAAGGTGTCGCACACAGGCCCACCACCAAAGCCAGGCAGCTCACCACAACCACGGAGCATCACCCCTCCCCCGAGCAGCTGCTATGTGGCAAGTTTTCTGAAGCTTGTGCCGTGGTGGTGCAAGAGTTGACCAAAGCATGCGCTATTTACTGTGGTTCCCAAGTTGTCCCATGCGTTCAGCTGGATTTGCGTCAAGATCATGTCCAATTGGGCTATGCAGATGGTCTTGAACTGCATTTGGTGACCATTGGAGCACATGCACAATGCCAAGATCCATTCATCCACGCGGTCAAAAGCGGTCTGAACACTGAATGCCACCCAAGCTGTTCAAGCTATCTTTTTATGAACCCTATTATAAGCCACCCCTTGGAAAATCCATCAAACAACGCTGAACAACCCTTCACCCAACGTTAAATCTTAAACAACACCTACACAACGTTAAACCGACCCGAAAGAAACCAAAAACCAATTACTTTACTTCCAGTAATCCCCACCATGACATTTCAATCATTTGTCTTGATGCCATAGTGAGGAGCTTGTTGCCATAGTCGTTAGTATTGTAGTTCTCGATGTTGCTTGTGGGTCCTCGGGTTGTGTGCTGTGTTGTGGTTGTGTTTGTGTTTGTGGTTGTGTGTTTGTGGTTGTGTGTTTGTGGTTGTGGTAGTGGTTGTGATTGTGTGTTTGTAGTTGTGGTTGTGGTTGCGGTTGTGTCTTTGTGATTGTGTGTTTGTAGTTGTGGTTGTGGTTGTGTCTTTGTGATTGTGTGTTTGTAGTTGTGTTTGTAGTTGTGTGTTTGTGGATGTGTTTGTGGTTGTGTTTGTGGTAGTGGTAGTGGTTGTGATTATGTGTTTGTAGTTGTGGTTGTGGTTGTGTCTTTGTGATTATGTGTTTGTAGTTGTGGTTGTGGTTGTGTGTTTGTGGTTGTGTTTGTGGATGTATTTGTGGTTGTGTTTGTGGTTGTGTGTTTGTGGTTGTGTGTTTGTGGTTGTGTGTTTGTGGTTGTGTGTTTGTGTGTGTGTTTGTGGTTGTGTGTTGTGTGTGTGTTTGTGATTGTGTCTTTGTAGTTGTGTTTGTAGTTGTGTGTTTGTGATTGTGTTTGTAGTTGCGTGTTTGTGATTGTGTTTGTGATTGTGTTTGTGATTGTGTGTTAGTGGTTGTGTGGTTGTGGTTGTGTGTTTGTGGTTTTGTGTTTGTGGTTATGTGTTTGTGATTGTGTCTTTGTAGTTGTGTTTGTACCTGTGTGTTTGTGATTGTGTTTGTGATTGTGGGTTTGTGATTGTGTTTGTGGTTGTGTGTTTGTGGTTGCGCGTTTGTGGTCGTGTGTTTGTGATTGTGTGTTTGTGGATTTTATCTGGCAAACTATCTGGTTGAGGTCCAACGGTGCACACTGCGATCGGATCCTAGCGGTTGAGGTCCAGCGGTGCACACTGCGATCGGATCCTTGCGGTTGAGGTCCAGGGGTGCACA